AGCAGTGCCCTTAAAATTCCAAACAGTGTAGCTATTTGTTTCCCATAAGCTCACCTGTTTTACCCCAACCAGAGTGACTTACTATATTATAAAGTAAATTTAAAACAGAAAAGTAGTGGAGACGTGGGACAAACCATCTTATGCCAATCAGATTTCTTTCAGTAAACCCTCTGAGGGGGCCTGCCTGTTAGCTCAGTTGTTTAAGTGCCTGCTCATGCAAATGCAGTTAGGTACAGGATGCTACAGTTCGAACCCCACCTCCACCAGCCTTATCAGACCCACCCTTAAGGCAGGCTGAGCCAGCCAAAAAAAAATCCTTCTCAATAAACCCTCAGAAAGAAGAAATCCATGAGCCTGTGAGGAGAGCAACAGTGAACACACAAAGGCAAACAAGGAGGGCCAGAGAGCGTCTGTCCTGGACTGCTGTGTAGGGTCTGCTCTGTGCCCCGGCTGCCCGGCAGCCTGTGTGCCCTCTCTCCACAGTGTCCTTGCTGCGGAGCTGGGGCCACAGCCCACCTTCTGCCACCATGGGTCAGGATTCAGGGAGTGGCAAGAAGTTCAGCCCATTTCCAGCCTCAGAGGCCTCCTGGTGGTAATACATCGGTGATCTCTTGGTCCTCAGCAGTCGAGGGGCCACCTGCGGTCCAGGCTAGTGCAGAGTTGTAGCCACACGATGATGGAAGTGGCCCTGGGAAAGAACAGGTGCACAGTGAGTATTGCTCAGCTGGTGCCTCCGAGGGGAGCCATGCAGTGGAGTCGTCCTTAGGTGCTAGGACCGACTGACACAACGGAGAATCTTCCAGCTTAGAGAGGTCATGAGTGCAGTGGGAGAAAGGGATCTGAGGCCAAGTTGGTCCTCGAGTGCAGGAACACGGGGCTCTGTCCACCTTGGCACTTGGGCAAGCCAGATCAGCAGGGCCTCTGTAGGGCTGGTACTATCACCGCAGCATTCCGAGGGCACTCAGTGTCCCTAGGGAGAAAGTGCCCCCAGCTGGAAACACTGGCTTGGCTGACAGAGACGTTTTGTGTTAGCAGCAGTGGCGGCGGCGGGGGCAACAAGCTCGCTCACTGAGCAAGCAGAGTGTGTGTCAGGACCCTGGAGTGCAGTCCGTGTCCTGTCTCCCTCAGAGGGCTGTCCATGTGACCATTGGGCAGGGTGGCACAGTCTCACACGGAAGTGGCGGTGGAGTCATTGCTCCGGATTCACATTCAGGCTTTCGTCATGCCTCATGCACATGCAGCAGAATTCCGCTTGCTTCCCGACTCCCTCAGAGTTCCTCCGTGGAGAAGGAAGCAAAGTGAGCTGATCACAGTGGGACTGCTGGTGCTGCGCTGCCAGCCCTGGTGCAAAGGCAGTGAGGAAGTGGGGTGGCAGCCACAGTCTTGGGCTGTTAAGGGGAAGACTGCTAAGAAGCAGCGGCTGCTGTCCTGGTAACAGACTATCAGAGTGCTTTGTGAGGGCAGGAGAGGAGAGGTGGACTGCAGGTCTTCGCCAATGTGGCCTGTGGACCAGGCTGCATGGGGCTGAAGAGCAGCATGGGGCGCCTTCTTCGCCAGCCCCTGGTCTCTAGGCCAGGGTAGGAGAAACATACTCACAGAGAGCAGGAACAGAGCTGTGCTCAGTTTGAAGAGGTGAAAGAGTAGGACGTGGCCACCAGGAAAATAGGGACTCGGGGACAGGGAGGGGGACAGGTGTTTTTAAAGGAAATGCTTGAGAATGCGGTGCCCCATACTTAGCTGCCTTGAAACTCTGAGACAGGTTGAAGAAATTCGGAAAGGAGGCGTCGGTAATCAAGCATATCAGCTTGAGAAAAGGCTTCTCTTTGGCTTTGGGACTGGGCAAACGCCGAGCAGAGGCAGCCGTCTCCTAGCATGGCTGCCGCATCGTCTGAGGAGCAGGGGACAGACTAGGAAGACCACCAGATTAGGCCAGGGCCCTCTGTTCTCACGAGGCTCGGCACAGAGCCCTGAACTCCTGAGAGGCTGTGACACTGCAGGGAGTTGGGCCAGTTGGTCTGTAAAGCCTTGCATCTTTGAGACTCTTACAGATCTAATTCCGATCAGTGACATAATTATGAAGACACGGGGTAAAAACATGGGAGCAGTCTTCTTACTGAAAAATTGGTTTTAGAACATTTTCAGGGTTTACTCTTTGAACATAATCTTGAAAATACGATAAAAGAAAGCCATTTGTATAAATGCTCAGTTGGTTTTTTCAAGTTTTTTTAGAATTTTCCTAAATCAGTGTAGTCCTTTCCTAGAGCATTATTTTAATTTTTTTGTTGCAATGAAATGGAAATTAGATAAGAGGGGGCAATTAAAGGTTTCTAGACACTTTTAATTTTTTTTATCAAACAATACCTAAATAATATTCCTGTATGATTTCCTGGGCTTTGAGCTGCTGCCTGAAGGTGGGCCCTACTTGCCTGCAGGTTGGTACTGTCCCTGCAGGGCAGCCACGGAGTGGGGCTGCCTCTGGAGGAGTCAGGTATGGTGCTGGGTGAGCGTGAATTCCTGCAGCAAACTGGCTCCGGGAAGAAGCGCAGCTGTAGCTAACTTTTATCCTTAGGGAATAATTTCCTCCCTTAATTTTTCTGTATAAAATAACATTTAAAAAACATCAAAGTAGAGGCAGAGTTCCTAAAAAGTGGAATTTGAGTAAAATGAGATTTTGCCCATCCTATTCTTCTCTTCCTGTCTTTTGGGGGAGAGTAGAGTGTAGCCTCTTTAGCTGACCTTGTTTAAAACAGAAAAAAAGGCCTGAAGTCTACTCATTTCCTAGTGTTTATTCTGAAGGAAAAAGGACTGCTTGAGTTTCCAGAGGTGTCTGCCTGCTTGGAGCTATTCCTGCAGCTTTTCTGTGAGCCATATTTTATTTGTCCTTTACACACATCGCTGATGGTGTCCCAGCAAGAGTAGCCTGTCCTTCCTAGAACTGCCATTGGCATAGTTCTGACTAGGATGACTCTCTGTTTTTAAAATCTCCTAAGTGTTGTCAATACTAGTAATGCGTGCTTATGAAGTTTTTAAAGAGCATAAAATTGTAATTTTTTCAAATAATGAAAGTGCCCTTACATCTCTTTCCTCTCTTCCCACCTGAATAATTCAATCCAAGAGACCAGGTGCTGAGCAGGAAGGGATCTTCAGGACATAAAACTTGACCGCTGTAGGAGAATGGGTCAGGGATCTAGCTGCTTCTCAGTAAGACAGTCTTGCTGGAAAAAAGCAAGTCATCACACAGCATGTTGGTAAAAATGATCTATCTGCACCTCTTAAGAAAAGGGTCAGTCTTCCTTCTGCATAAGGAGAGTGTGCAGTAATCAGTCAGAGGACAGCAGCCCTGTGGGAATCTACGAAGGAAAACAACCCGTTCATAGGAGATTTACTTAAGTTTTATGCAAATGAGAAATTTTCTTAAGCACATGAAAAAATGCCTGCTCTCACTCCTAGGAGAAGTGCAATTTAAATTATACTGGGGCATCAGTACAGAGATGGAGCAAGCAAAAGAGAGATCACCTGGCATGGTGGCACACGCCTGTAGTCCCAGCGCTGGGGAGGCTAAGACGGAAGGTTCGCTACAAGTCTGAGCTGGTAGTGAGGCCCTGTACCACATAAGTAAATCAATTAAGTTTTAAAAAGAAATATCACTTTTTATTTATTGGATTGACAAAGAGCAAGAGTTAAGACGTCTTTTGGAATGGACTACTACTCTGCCATAAAGAAGGACAGACCTGAGTCACATGTAAGAAACTGGACACGCCTTGAGCTGTAAACGTTGGGTGAGATAAATCGGACGCACGGGCTTAAATGTTGCATGGGGAGATATGAGGGAGAAGGATGAGAAAAGCGTTGAGATGTGTTCAAGTGCCCACCAGCTCCTCACTAGAAGGTGGCCACCACGCACTGCAGATTTGTGCTGACAAAAACAGAAACTGAAAAACCAGAGCTAAACATCCTTTGAAACTCCTGTGAGAACACAAGCGCTTCCCAGTCTTTCATATTAATGCGGTACGGGCAGAGCCTGGCGTGGGTGCCCCCTGCAGCTTGCTGGCGCAGTGCCTTTGACCCAACTATTCGGCTCCTAGGAACTCTCATTGCTGTGGTGTCCCAGGGAGATACTCAGCCAGCCTCTGCAGTTACTCACTGCAGGGTGACTCATCACAGCAGAGAATCACAAACAATACCAGTGCTTGTCAGGAGGAAGCAGATAAACTTGAAGGATCTGAAACATGGAGCAGTACAGCCATTAAAAAAAAAAAAAAAAAAAAAAGGTCTGGAATGGAGTCTGGGGATATGTTAAGGAAAAAAAAGCAAATAGTCAGAGTGTGTGTGTATTATGATGCTTCCTGAGAAGGGGAAGGTATTCACTTGTGTGCACAGAGCGCATCTCTGGAAGTACATGAACGAGGAGCCACATCGATTGTCCTCACAGTGGACAGCTCGGCGGCCAGTGTATCAGAACATGGGGTTTTCCAGAGAAGCCCTATTTCTGCAGTTCAGATTTTAACCATAGTATTTATCTGTATAGTAAATATGCAATTAGAAAATAATTTTGCAGATGAAATAAAGAGCAAGACACGTCACAAGCTTGTACAGATCCTACAACTGTGCAGTCCTCAGGTGATGTTTTTTTCTCATGTAGCTGAAGATACTGTAGTTATCTCTCTGCAGAGTTATCTACCAGCTCACTATACCGAATCCTTCCTGAAGTGACCCCTAAGTAACTCTTCTGATGCCCTGCTTGTTTATATTTACATTTTCTGTATTCGTATTCAAAACTGAGATTTACATATAGTATTTTGTTAGTCATCATTGATGTGTTTTGAAAAAATATAAAATTCTGTAAAAGAATTGAGAACCCTAGGGCCAAAAAGACCCAACCAATCAACAAAAAATGAAGAGCCTTTCCTTTTCTTTCTTTCCCTTGGCCCTCAAGGCAGTCAAGCTGGGTCGAAAGCCTTTTGTACTTTGCATTTGTAGTGATTGCACTTTTACCATAGGAAGAAGAAGGAAGCACCTGCAAGACACAGAAGACTTCCTGGCTTCAGGACTGTGTTTTGTCCTTGTCTCCAAACAGTGACCTTATGGTCATAGCGCGGGAGCAGAAAGCTGTATTTCTAGTGCGTGAGTAACGCATCATTTGGGGGCCTTCATTTGCATGCGTAGACCAGAGCAGAGCAGTGATTGGCTGGAGAGCACAGGTGCCGGTTCTGCTGTATGCGCTGATTGGCTGGAGCGCACAGGTGCCATGTCTGCTGTATGCGCTGATTGGCTGAAGAGCACAGGTGCCGTTTCTGCTGTATGCGCTGATTGGCTGAAGAGCACAGGCGCCATTTCTGCTGTATGTTACACAGTGGGCCCTGTGACACTTATTTCTTCCTCCCTCTTTCCTTTCCTCCTTCGTTCTGTTTCCTCCTCTGACTTCAGCCACATGAGCTGTCTCTGTGGCACTTGAGAGCAGTACTGGGCATTTCCAATTCTCACAAGGGCCAAGGTCACAGACGCTCCTTTTTTTTCAGTTTTTATTAAGTATGTGTTTGTAGCACACGGTGACTACCTGTATCCCAGGGAGTGGAACAGACCCCTTTGGTGAGCGGAGTGATTTTCACCTGCAGTGTGAGAACCCACACTGCTGCAGGCTTTAGTTTGGAGCAGAAATTCTGAGCTCAGGAAGTTTGTGTTGAAGGTTAAATTCGTGACTTGGGGCTGTGTGGGATACCAGAGGCTCACTGATCAAGACAGGGCCACATATGAAAGGGCTAGGAAGCAAATCTGTCCCCGGTAGCATAAATGCAATAGAAAATGTTCTCTCCTCTCTGATAAAAATAATCTTATAAATAAAATAGGTAGTGTGGTGCATAGGAATTAAAAACCTTATTCTGCAACACTATGAAAATACTATATGAATTTAGTTGGAAGAACAAGAGATCAAAAGCTAGGAGTCCAGGTGATGTTATAAAATCTCTTTAAAAATTTAAAACATTACCTTTATTTAGCTATAAAAACACTCAGTTGATATGGAACTGTTAAATTGTTTACTCGTCATTCTAAAGGGAAAGAGCAAAATGTATAAATTATTGTCTGTGTACTTTAAAGGTATTTTATATGCTATCCAAATTATTTTTCAGCAAAATGGAAACAGAGCCATAAAGGAAAGGAAGAAATGCACTTTGCTGTTGCCTGGAGCGGCACTTTAAGTGTTGAAGAAGGGTAGGTGCCAGCTGGTTTGCTTGCCTCTCTGTGGAGTAAGCCTGTGCACGAGACTGACCTGTGCCTGAGTCTGGGAAGAGGTTCTGTCGTTGGGAATTATTTAATGAATGTGCGTCCCAACTAAAGGTTGTAAAGAAGACCCAGACAGCAAGTTCTACCTGTGTGGTTTATTTTTCAGTTTGGTTTGAAGAAGATTAGTGCTCAGAAAGAATCCCATAAGGTCTTCTCACACCCTGCCTTTTCCTTCTGTTCTCTGGAGTTAGTTTAGTCACCCACCAGGCTGCGGGCACTCATGCACCTGTCTTACTCGTGTCAGGCTTGCACTGCACAGAGCTCACGAACTCCGGAAATGGAGTTGGTCCGTTTAAGTCCCCTGCTGACCCAGTGAAACTTAAGACCCACATCTGTAGAGGGGGCACATGGTGGGCTGCTAGCGTGTAGCCCGAAGCCTCGGGCAGCATTGGTTCAGAGCTCATGACTAGCAGCTGCCGAGAGTGAGGAAAGAGGCCCTTGAGACAGCCAGATGAAAGTCACCGGGCGCAAGTACCCACAGCACCCTGGCACTCGAGAGCACGCGAAGTGTTTTCTGCTATTATCCAGAAAAATAGTATTTTTCATTTTATGAAAGCACTTTAAACAAATTAAAATATCTTGTCATAAAGGAACACATTACAATAACAAGAAAACATGTTACTTTTTAAAATCAGCAGGAATAATACTGTTCGGTGATTTCCTCTGGTGGGTGAGACAGGGTGCTGGTGATTTCTTCGGGCTGGATGCCTCACAGGGGCTGTGTGGGTGTCACGGGCTAGTCTCTGAGCTCCTGGCAGTATTTTAAGTCTACATATCAAGGGTAAACCATCATTGCTTAGGTAGCCTTAGTGCTAATGTGTAGTTAGAAAGATGATGAAAAGAATAATTCTACAGAGTGTAGGAGAAGAGACCAGCGAGTTCAAGTGCAGAGTCCCGAAAATAAGACATCCTACTGGGGATGGAGCTGGGGTTACAGTGCTTGTCTGGGGTGTGCGAGGTCCTGGGTTCAGTCTTGAGTGCCAGGGAAGGAGGCAAACACATGTCTGTATCCTGCAGAAGTACAGTCTGTGGCGGTGGGACCGTCCCTCCCCGCTGCCCTCTGCTGCCCCGCAACCTGCACGAGGAGGAGATTGCACCCTTATGTGCTCACTCGAGTTGTAGGTTCAGATACAGTCAGTTGTGTAAATAAGCTTTTGGTTTGTTTCATGCTTTTTCAAGGTAACATAAAGGTTTTTACTAACTTGACAATGAGTATGTCTTATGTGAATGAACTTCATGGTGCACTGTTACTGTATTGTTACTTATCAGATAGAAATGACCACTTATGACCCTGTAGTAACAAACTGTAGAAAAATAAAAGTAATTGCTGAGCTTGCTGGCTAGGCAGAAGTTGTTGATTTTGCTCTCATTTTTGTTCCTAGGGAATCTGTGACAAGTGCTCTGTGCATACCGCTGGCAAGCCAGAAGAGGTGAGGGTGAACAGGGGCTTTCGGTCCCCTCTGCACTCGTGTGAGCTGGGAGGGTCATGAGTCTTGTTTATGGCAGGAGCTCCACTGGGCGTCCTGACTGGACCTGCATCGTGGTGGGTTTTACCTCGGGTTACGTGCGCTTCTATACTGAGGTAAGCTGAGCTTTCAGCAGCTAGAAGCCATGTGCTGCAGTACCTCTCTGGGTCCACCCTTACTGGCTGGGATGTAGCTTTCTCCGTGGAAATATGTCCGTGGTGCCTGAGGGGGTAGCAGCCCGGGCAGGCTGGACCTTCCAGGGAAGTCAGAGGCGCGAAGCTGGTTCTGAGGCAGTAGATCCCCGTGGGGCTCCAGGAGCAGTGCCCCCCTGTCAGGTACAGCGAGAGCGGCAGCGGGCCCCTGTGTTTCCTCCTAGAGCGGCGTGCTTCTGCTTGCTCAGCTCCTGAATGAGGACACGGTGCTGCAGCTGAAGTGCAGGACCTACGAGATCCCCCGGCACCCTGGCGTGACGGAGCAGGTAGGGCAGGGGCCGCGGTGCTCCGGCAGGGTGTCGCCGCTCTGAGGGGACGTGGGCATTGCCCTTGGGCTGCAGAGAGAGAGCCGTGGTGTCTGCTTGTCGCTGCAGGCAGGGTGCCAGTCCGCTGGTACAGTTCAACAAAGTACTGTTTCCTTTAACAATAAAATATTCTAGTTAGAAGCCAACAAGTTTCTTAGGTTTAGACTAACGATTTAAAGCAATAATTCTGTAACATTTCTTTTTTAACATTTTTCTCTAACAGCACATTTCCAGGTGACAGCCATGCCTGACAGCTTCTCCAACATGACTTCTATAAAATTTCTATAACATTTTTTTTTATTTTGACTTAGGAGTCAAATTTACCTGTAGCAAAAGTTTAAGTTCAGATCTTGTCATTAATACTACCAGTATAGTACTTATATTAACTATTTCTCAGAAGTGTTTTTGTGTGTTATGAAAAAATGTACTCATTGAAAACTTTGATTGGGAAAATAGCACTGCTCAGTATGACGGCTTCCGCGGCAGCTTGGCCGCCTTCAGCGAGGTCAGCTGCAAGCTGGCACAGTTGCCAGAAGACAGGTGCCATGCAGGGCGGCTGCACGGCCTGCACTCGTGTGTGGCAGCCGGGTCAGAGCCGTGTACTCTGCCTCCTTCCGTGTGCAAGTAAATGGCTGCATGTGTTGTGTGCATAGGAGCTGAAAATGTGGCGTAGCTGGCCTGCAGTATAGAATAAAGCGGTGTAATTAGGGAGAGAAACTGGTTCCGTGTCTCCTAGTACTTGTGAGTGCATTAGTAGTATAAAATGCCTAAGTGCTAATCTACATGGGCGGGGCTGGTGAGATGGCTCAGTGGTCTAAAGCACCTACTTAGAACAAGCTCAGCAAAGCCCAGGGACCGCGGTTCAATCCCCCAGCACCACATGCCAGCCAGCCCCGCCCCCTGGTGGACTGAGCTGGCCACACACACACACACACACATAAATAAATAAATAAAAATTAATCTACATGGGCAGAATAAATTCTATACAAGTTGGAGAAGGGGAGCATTAGGATTCAGAGGTTTCATGGAGAAGGTGAGATTCATGTAAGCCTTGAATAAGGGGCCTATAAATTTAATTAGGTATGGAAAAGGGGGAAAGTATCAGGTAATCAAGAGAAAAATGAGAGAAGATTCATATATAAGAGTATGTATGCTATAACAAAGAACCATTGTCAGCCAGGAATGTAGCTCAGTGGCACAACACCTGCCTGGCAAGCGCAAGAACCTGAGTTCTGTTCCTGGTACCAAAAAAAAAGGAAGCCTATGTCAGAATGGCCATAGTTTTTAGAAACTCAAATGATTTGGGAGAGGAGAGGAGCTCCGAAGGGTTTGTGAGCAGGAAGAGACAAAACAAGAGACCCCTTCTCCAGGGTGAGCAGGCCGCGAGGCTGCAGCTGCCTGGGCCTCTAACTCCTCTGCAGCAGCGTGGATGGAGGGCTCCGAGCCAGGAGGGGCGGCGCTCTGGACAGAGAGCACAGTGCAGAAGTCGTGCTGGAGAAGCTGTCAGGCGTGGCTGTCACCTGGAGATGTGCTGTTAGAGACAGATGGCTCAGGACTGGGCCATTCAGGTTATTAAGTGTGATTTGGGGTGCACTGACCTCTAAGCAGTGGAGGAAATAAAATGAAGATGCAAGTATCAGGCCAGAACACGAAGCTGCAGGGGCAGAGGCTGGGCTGGAGTGATGAAGAAGTCCTGGACTCCTCCCATGGGGACAGCAGAGCTGCGGGAAGAGGACTGAAGACTTGGTCACATCCTTCCTAGGGAGAGAAGGGGCAGCAGGGAAGGAGCGGGGAGACCTGAGCCGGGGCTCCTTAAATCCACGACAGCTCTCAGGATGCTTCCACTTTCTGCACCCCACTGGGGGAGAAGGTGCCTTAAACGCTCGGCCCCCCCGTCAGGCCTGTTGGTGCAGTCATCACTTGACACTTGAGTATTTGCCATGCAAGCCTGGAGCATCCCCTGTAGCTGAAAGCGTCCTCATGACCCGTGCACAGGAAAGCCGCTGTGTGGCTCTGTGTGCCGTGGAGCCGCTGAGGCCTGCCCCAGCTTTGTGCATCTGTTAGGAGATCTTGCAGGCTTGCTTCCCTGCAGTCCAGGCCCAGCCCAGGCCACAGGCACCCACGTCCTCCTTGTCCTCTTTGGTTCAAGCCAAAGCACAAGGAAGGTGAGCACAAGTCCCTGCAGGGCAGGCTCCCAGGAGATGCCCGTTCCTGTGGTGTCCGAGGGCCCTGTCCCCTCCACACAGGAATCCTCTGTCCTCGCACACGGTGCCACAGGCTTGGGGCCACTGGTGTCTGTGGTTGTGTTTCTTAGGGCAGTCCTCTGGTTTGGGTGGTTAGGACCTTTCTGTCCTCAGGCTGCTGAGCCAGAGAGGGGGCCACATCACTCGCTGTACATGCACGTGGGACCTACACGCGCCCTGTGGACCATGCGTGCCAGCTCCCTTGCCCCAGTCTTGCTCCTAAAGGCCCAGGGTCTGTGCATATAGAAATAGCCAATGGTAGACCCAGTCCTAGCCCAGGTCCGGTGAGTGTGCGGAGAGCTTCCTGCTACCCTGCGCCGGCGGGACCAGTCCCAGGCCAGGCGCAGAGTGGGCCGGACCCTCTCCCAGCCCCTTG